GAGGCCCCTAAACCAGATGTTCCAGTTTCTTCATTATCTTTGTGGCCTTCTTCTGGATTCACTCCAATATGTTCATATTTCTTTTGTACTAGGGAGTCCAGCACTGAACTAAACACCCACCTCAGAGATGTGATCTCATCAGGGATGAACAGACAGGAAGATTCACCTCCCTTGGCAACACTGGCCCTCATGCATCCTAGCAGGCTGTCATCCTACTTTGCTGCAAGGGTGCATTGCTGGCTTATGTTCAACTTGTCTTCCAGGAATTATTTGCTTGGCCACCCTCCCTGGTTTGGGGTGAAGTTTACTGACCTGCATTTCCTCAGATCCCTCTCTTTGAAACCTGGGCATTAGTTTTATTTTTCTTCCATCTGCTGCTCTTGCCTGATTTCTGAATGTTGGGCTGGATTGTTCTTAAGCTTTAGAAAGCGATCCTTGAGAATCAAACAGCTCTACTAGACTCTTCAGTTCTGTATCTCAAGGGATCCTGCAAGGCAGATCTCTAACATTCCTATAAACAGGCTGAAGCCTGCTTTCTTTAAGTCCATGGTTGTGACCCTGCTAATTGCACTGACATCTCCATGCAACCATCTCCACTGCAACCTTTGTACCCCTTGATACAAGAAAGACAGGGAGCTGTTGGAGAGGGTCCAGAGGAGGTCCACAAAGATGATCAGGGGACTGGAGCACCTCCCCCACGAAGACAGGCTGAGGGAGCTGGGCTTGTTCAGCCTGGAGAAAAGAAGGCTGCGGGGTGACTTCATTGCAGCCTTTCAGTACCTAAAGGGAGCTTACAAACAGAAGGGGAATCAACTCTTTGAAAGGGCAGATAACTGCAGGACAAGGGGAAATTGTTTTAAGTTGAAGCTGGGAAGATTTAGGTTGGATGTCAGGGGGAGGTTGTTCACTGTGTGAGTGGTGAGGTGCTGGAACAGGCTGCCCAGAGAAGTTGTGGATGCCCCGTCCCTGGAGGTATTCAAGGCCAGACTGGATGGGGCCCTGGGCAGCCTGGTGTAAGATAAATGTGGAGGTTGGTGGCTCTGGCTGTGGTGGGGGGTTGGAGCTTGATGATCCTTGGTGTTCCTTCCAATCCAAGCCATTCTGTGATTCTATGATTCTATGACAAAATTTTCTCCATTTGTAAGCATCAGGTCCAGCAGAGCATCTCCCCTTTTCAACTCCTTGATCACCTCTGCAAGGACAGCATCGTCAATACACCCCAGTAACATCACTCTTCATTGAAATGGCAGCAGAATTTGGTCTTTAAAGACTCTGGGCCACTCTGTAGCCTATCTAAACAATTCTAGCAAATCTAGATGGAAAACATTTATCTAAATGTCTTCCTTATATCACCAGCTATGCTAGTATTATCACTTTCTGAATAGAGACTCAAGAAGAATATAGATTAAGCAGAGACAACCAGCTAATCAACACAAGGAAAACAAATCTTTTGCTGGGAGTGAAAGAGGTCATTTCCTCCTGAAGCAAAGAGGGGAGAAATGAAACCTGCTGGATCTTTGATGATGGTTTTCTAAGCTAAGCTCCTCACAGCACAGCACAGCTATGTGCTATGCTATGCATAGGGTGATACTGGTAGAGGCAAATTGTTGGTATTTTAATGTAAACCTAAACACCAATATATTCCAGCTTTTTTTTCTTTTCTGCTATGAATGTGTAGCAATATTCTCCATATATGTGTGCCATTTAAGTTAGTTGCGTATTTCTCCTGTAAATGACTTTCCTAAACAGTCTGCATTACAGTACTCCACTGCAGTCAGGATCAGTGTTGACAAGAGTCTCTGGCAGGAATTAAGAAGAATCAAGAAACCAGATCAAAGTTTGCAAAATTGATACCAAGCATTTTGTTTCTATTCTTTACTACTGAGAATTTCCAAAGTACCTGCAAGTGTAGCAGCTGACCAGTGACATTAGAATGGCAAGGACTGAAGTTTCATGCTGAAGATTAAAGTTTCTGAGGTCATGCAGAGAAGGGAGTATAATTGCAAGTTATCAAGAAAATCATAAGGCGTATCATATAAAATTGGTAGAGCCAGTAACTGAGCCTTCCTGAATTGTCATGTGCATACAAATGAATAAAGAATAAATCTTCCCAGCCACAGCAGCAGGATTAGAAGTTGGAAGAGTTCATTGCTCCTAAATGCATTGGTATGTTTCTTCAATTACCGTAATACACCATAAAAGCAAAAAAAGGCTCGAGCTAATTCCTTTAAGTAACATATTCTGAAACATTAAACAATAAAGAATGTAATGTTCTCTCTAGATAACATAATAATTGTCTGTGTGACACCTTTGGTTGACTAGGTACCACAGGGAAGTACATTATGCAAAATCCTAAGCTGGAACTAATCATGGCCTTCAGGAATTGTAAGAGTACAATTATTCCTTGAAGAAGTGGTGGAGAAGACGGTGTGTATGGCAAAAGGCTTTGTTAATAGTGTTAAAATAATTTATGTACAAGTGGGTCTCCTCTTTAAAAAACTGCTGAGAAATATATACATCTATGAATTGTAAAACAGTTACGTTAATATTGCCAGACCTCTCAAGGATTCTTCCTCCTGACCACAGTGCTGCAGAGTTAGGTGTAAGAGCCCTTTGTTTCTGATAGCATTTGTGTTGTTTACCAGTTGATTTTGTAATTGTCTTTTCCAACAGATTTGACACAGGCAGGCATTTTTTTAATGGTCTAAAACACTCATTTATAGTCCTGATGGTTTTTATAACATCAGACCTTTAAAATAGCCCTGCTTTATTATTTAGCATTCTTTTTATAACAATAAAGATATGCACGGCTCTCTCCAGGCATAAGAATACCCTATATGTAATATGTAGCAATAATTTTCAGGCACTACTTCGAGACCTTAATATAGCAAGTTCTGGATATCAGCTCAATTATGTTTTCAATTTCTACTTCCTTTTACTGAAGTAGTATTACAGAGGTCATTTTGAAAGTAATGCCTCTTATTTATTCCCATGGAAACTACAGCAGATACAAAGAGCACAGTAACACTGTTTGATAGAGCAAATTCTCAGCTGCAAAATACTATTTTTCAACATAGTCACCATCATTATCCAATTCACATGGATAAGATGATCACAATTCTAATCATTTCACAATGTGACAGCTGTGCATCTAGAACGTGGCTTGTCCTTCACACTGCTGTCACCACTGCTGAAACACACTGCCTCACTGTGCTCACATCCACTTTTTGGTCTCTGTAAAAATTCAGCAAGCGTCAGTGAATACAAATAGGCATCAGTCTTTTCTGCAGGGAGAAATTCAGTGACATGCTGTTGCTTCATCTTTGTTTCTCACAAGAACAGAGTAGAGGGGTGATTCTGCCCCTCTTTTACTCTTGTGAGACCTCATCTGGAGTACTGCATCCAGTTCTGGGGCCCCCAACACAAGAGAGATGTGGAGTTGTTGGAGCAGGTCCAGTGCAGGGCCACGAAGATGATCAGAGAACTAGAGCACCTCTCCTACAAGGACAGGCTGAGAGCTGGGGCTTTTCAGCCTGGAAAAGAGAAGGCTCTGAGAGGGGGGGACACCTTTTAGCAGCCTTCGAGTAGCTGAAGGAGGCCTACAGGAAAGCTGTGGAGGGATTTTTTATAAGAGCAAGTAGTGACAGGACCAGGGAAAATGGCTTTAAAGTGGAAGAGGATAGATCTAGACTAGATATTAAGAAGAAATTCTTTACTATAAGGGTGACACTGGAACAGGGTGCTCAGAGAGGTTGTGGATGCCCCCTCCTTGGAGTTGTGCAAGACCAGGCTGGATGGGGGTTTGAGCAACCTGGTCTAGAGGGAGGTATCCCTGCCTACAGCAGGGGGTTGGAACAAGGTGATCTTAAAGGTGTCTTTCAACCCAAACCATTCTGTGATTCTGTGATTCATATGCACTTTCATGTCAGACTCCATTTTGTCAGACTGCCCATCTGCTGCCATCTGTCACATGGCAACAAAATGTAATGGAATATGGGTGGGAAGGTTCAGCCTCTATTGCTATACCACCAACATCTGCCTCTGACATTGTGGGCCAACATAATAAAATAGAAGGCATTCCTTTCGGAGCAGCTCTGATAGATAAGAGATAGATGGACTTGCTCTAGTACTGGAGGATACTTCAGGGAAAGCAAGGGACAATTTCCTATCAGAGAGTGGAAGATATGTTTTGATAGGTGCTGTCCATTTCAGCTTTTAGCAGTAAAATGGGAAGCGTGTGCAGCATTTTACATCACCTAAATAGATTACCCAAAACAGACACACACACATGTCAAAGCAAATGACATTCTTTTTGCTGGGCATGACAAATTCCAGTGCTAGATCCAAACAAGAATAAACCTTGGCCCAATGTAACATTTTGCCCTCTTTCTGGGGCTCTCTCTCCAGGGAACTGTGGAATTTCACTTTTCAGCATCCTGAGCTGTAACAATTAGTGCTATAAACCTTGCAGAACACACTGTCCTCGCAACTGAACAATCTTGCTCCTCACAGAACGTGTTATGTGAAGTGCATAAAACTGCATCCCAAAACCAATGTGATAATACAGCATTCATTCATATTAATATTTTATGGTTTTGGTCTACAGTGAGCTCAAGTATTTTGCTTGCCATAAACGTGTTTCAGTTCAAGTATTTTAGAAGTAGGGCTGAATATTACTATGTTTTTTAGTTTTAAGGTTTTCCATTTGTGACTAATGGTACAAGAAGCTGGAGCACTCAGCCAGCAGAAAACTTGGTAAAGTAAAAAATGTATAGTTAAAAATCCAATTTCCAATTCGCCACCACAGTATAAAAACACTATATGCAATGCTGATTATAGATATGTTTCTGTGGGTATTTGCCATTCCTTTGTCACATCCCTAAAATATAGAACGATATTCCCAGTGATCAATTACACCTAGGTGCTGTGTAGCGCATTTGGCTGCGTGCTGTTTATACTTAACCAAAACATCCAGGTGAAAATATATGTTTGTGAACCCCCAAGCTCTGTATTCAGCTGTAGGAGTAAGTATTTCAGCTGACAGCAAAAGCAAAAGCAATACCACTTGCTGACTTGGGAAAAAAAAAATAGGTGAGCTGGGCTGTAGTAAATCTAGCCTGTGCTGTCTATCATTCTCAGCAGTCCCCTGCAATTGGAAGCTTTTCTTCCAACTTTAGGCTTCTACTCTCTCTGGATTAAATGAAGATCTTAACTCTAAAAGTGCCTATAGTTGTGAGGAAAAAAAAAAGAAGACCTTAAAATAGAAAAGCTTTAAATCTGGAAACCAACAATGAAGTAATGAAGAGTAAATAGTTGTTTGAAGGGAAGGAGTAGTAGGAACGTGACACAGTTATAAATATTTCTTTTGTTTTTCCTTTTTAATACTATTTGTTTTGTAAGCTTTATCTTATCTGGCATTCCTCAAAAAGGATGAAGCTGCTGACCAGGATTGTGAGTATTCTTTATAGAGAGGAAGGATCACTGATATTTCTCATTTTTGGTGTAGTTTGTGGTACTGCTTAAATGCATATAATGGTTCAACACAGAATGTAGAAATTATTTTGTTGTATTATTGTAATTTCACAGCAAGCATAGTTGAGGGAATGAATGTGGTGATTCTTAATGTTTTACATCTCCACTGAAGAAATTTCTCAATTTAAAAGAGATCATTTTCTATCAGAGAGTTTTCTCCTGCAAAGTAGGAAAAAAAATGCTAATAGCTGAAGGAAACAGCTTTACAGAAAAAAAAGAAAAAATACAAAATGTTTTTTAATCATGGTAAATACTAGGAAGCTTATGTAGATTTACTCTCTATTCTTCTCCTCCCTAGAAGGTTCTCATTTTAGTAATCGTTCCTTTCCGTTTGCTATCAAGACACTTCTATGCTATTTTTACGCAATTTATGTTAAAAAGTAAAGATGAAAACAAGAAAAGAACGACTCTTTTTGCCCTTCTTTGTTAATTAAGTGCAGTCAGATCATGTGTGCTTGGCTCTGGTGTAAACCATATGCTCTCAAGCCTTCTGTGACTGCCTAAAGACTCTAAAAAGTAAACAGACATTTTCTCTGCCTATTATCAATGGGAGTGCTGCGAAAAGTTGGAGAGAGAAAGCTGATAAAGAAAATTCTGAGAACACTCAGCAGATGGGGTCACAGAGACCTGTTCCAAAATGATATAGAAGTTAGTGAAAGACCTGGCCAGGCCTTGCCATCAAAGGAAACTGCTGTCAAAAACCATCAAAGACAGACTGGGAAGTGACCACTATTCACACTTAATTTTCTGATTTTGCTAATGATATTGTATAAGGATTGTCCTACTGTTAGAAGATTGATCTACCATTTGAAGAAGACTAAAGTATTCTGTTTCTTCTAGAACCCAGAAAGCTCAGTAAGTGGAGGTTGGTCATTCATCTGTAAATGCTGTGTGACCAGTAGACTTGGCCTCTATATTTCCCATGGGCAGGATATGCAAAGTGAGAATCTGAAAGAACCAAAAAACAGCAGATGTGACAGAAAGGAAAAGCTACTCTCACTCTGTACCTACTGCAGTTTGTTACTCTACTGATTATCTACTGATATATCCTGAAAGGACAGCTGACTGAGAGTAAGCCTATAATGGAGAAGGTACTTCCCAGAGGGAGTGCAGCGTGTGAATGAGCCCACATCAGAGCATGCACACCCCTAAAGGGATTGCAGCCCATGGAAGATGCAGAAGGGAACACAGGAAACTTGTGAGAAACACAGAATGGCAGAGAGAAACTGCTATGCATGGACCCCGACCTCTTATCTCACTGAATGCACTAGATGTTACCTGCAATAATGAGGAGTATGGAGAGGTGTCCAGCACAAAGGATTAAGTAGAGACTAGAACAGGAGACAAGAGGACTGTGAAAGTTGGAGGAAAAGTGTTTTCTCAAAGCGCTTAAATGTTTTTCTTGGTTTTCCAGTACTCATATTAGTAATTAAATACTGATGCTAATTAGCAACAAATTAAGCTAAATTCCCCAAGTCAACTCCGTTTTGACTGCAACAATAACTGATAAGTGTTTCATTTGTCTTTCCTTTGACAAATGAGTTTTCTTCTTTTCCTATTCTATCCTCTGTCCCTTTAGCAAGGAGGTATCAAGTCACCCTCCTTGCCCAATTCACTGTAGCATATGACCCAATTAGGGGAATCAGACACCTATAAACATAAACAGTGGAATGTAATAGGCAGCCAGTATTTCTTGGGTCTATAAAAAATGTAGATGCTCTGTTAAAATTCATACAGAGGATCTGGGAAGGGTTGAGATTTGGTGGCAGGCTACAGGTTTTAGAATGCTGAATGCATTAGCATTCTGATATTCAGGAAGCATGGACTTTTTAGCATTTATTTATTATCTATAATGCTAAATAAAAGAAGGCCAGAGACTGATAACTTTCCTAAGTCCAGCTATCATGGACTTGCTCATATATAGGCCATGTAAGTTTAGCCTTCTCTAGCCTAGAAGGAGCCTACTGGAGTCAGTAGTTCATACTGGAGTCTGTACTCCGGCTCTGAGTGTCCTGAGAGCCCCAGGTGATACTGCTGTGACGCTAAAACTTTATTTAGAGAGATGTTTCATCTTAATATGTCTGAAATAGCATGAGGGATGTATTGTGACCCATTAAATGTTCAAGTAGCATGAGGATGCAAGGGCAACTGACTCATGTGACTGAGATGCTGAGATTGGTGGGATGGTGTTGGAGGACTGTGTGGGATGGAGAAATCTAAACCTGGTACCATCATATCTATACAGACTTTCCGGGAGTTGTGATGTGTGAACCATCCTCAGAGTCATAGCTAGTTTGCATTGTCCAATACAGAAGAGATAAACTTCCACTGAAACTATGTGAGCAATTTTGGTTCTAGCACTTGGGTTCATTTTATGTTCCTTGCTTTTTGACTAACATACATGTAACCTGTTTAGATTCTGTAGATATTGCTTGCAGGCAAAACTTTCTCTATTTCAGCAAGAAACAGTTACTGGATCTGAATTTTACACAACAATGACGGTCAGAAGATTCAGCAGCAATGTGTGTTAATTATGATCAATTTTGGTAATTAAATTTGTGTTGTTAAGTCGTAAATCTGCATGGATTAAGAAAAATCCAGATGTTAGATCTGGATTTTTACTAACTAGGATGCCTGTAGACACACCTGTTATCCCACAAATCTTTGCAGTCCTCAGACATGACTTTCCAAACACTTGCTCTGCACCTCATGTGGTTACTCCACAGTCCTACACAGGGACTATTCCTGATGCTTATTTTCATTTGCAGTGCCCTGTACAAAAAACAAACAAACAAAAACAAACAAACAAACAAATATATATAAGGAGGGGAACCTGGGAACCTGGGTTAAGAGGTCTTCCTCAGGGCCTGCATTTAGCTGTACCTGGCAGCACACATGAAGCAGAATAAGCAAGTCTCCAGCCTCCTGACAACCTGAACACCTTCCTGTACGACTAGGGGGATAATTCAAGTTCTCAGCTGCCTTCTACCTAGTTTCCCAGTCACTATCCAGGCTGAAATATTTGTGTTCTCCAGAGAGACTTGAAAAGAATAAATCCACACAACTATTCTGAGGCTATGAAGTCCTTTGCTCTTATAGCAATTCCTGAAGTCATCTGGCAGAAGAGACGCTCTTTCCCAGACCAGTGTGGAACATCTTGAAACCTTCTTAATGTTGGCTGTTGGCAATAATAGCAGTTTCACAGCTAAGACCCAGCAATGTTTTACAGATCAGACTTACCTGTCTACAGTATACAGCTTTTAGCAACGTGGAGGAAGAAGGACTGTGCCCTCCTCTGGTCTCTCAATTTCCAAAGCAGGACAGGCTGTGTCAGCAACCACGGTAAATAATGACCCAGGCATGTGTAAGGGCAACTAGCATCTACCCCCCATCTGTGCCAGATCTGTGACTCACTGTGTGGCATTTTATCTTGCTACTCTGTAAGCATGTGTGACCTATAAAACCTTGACAGTTTGGGCAGACAGGAAACCTGGTCACAGAACCTGTTTTTTTAATGCGGCTTGAGGACAAAAAGTGGCAGCATCTGCATGTATGGAACTGCTGCCAAACATCTTTATTTTATTTTATTTTATTTTATTTTTATTAGGGTTGGTTCTAGTTTTCACCAGTACTTCAGATTCCACTGTACCTCATCTGATTCATACAACATATTCTAATGGGAGCTGCATTTATACCTAAAAGGATTGTATATTTGTTCTTATTTCATGGCTTATAATTAGGAAGACTAAAGTAAAATCTTCTGACTAAGCAGAACTGAAAGACAGCACTGGAGTCTTGTACAATCATTGCCTTTGGATTTATCAGTTAGATTTTAGTTTCACTTTTGTCTTCCTACATAAAATCTTGCAAAATTTAAGTCAACAAAAAACCTAGGGTTGTTCCCTTGTCTCAGGGGGAATTTGAAGAGCTGGGGTAAAAAAATCACTGTAAATATGGCTATCAACCAGACTTCCCCTTACTTATGATGAAACAGTCTATTCAAAGGTTGCACAGAATCTTACTTGTCTGTTTTATTTGCACAAATCAGTTTTTCAGTCAGCCAGTGACTCCACCTCTAGGCTTACGCAGTACCGTGGTTTAGATGATGAAATCGATGTTCAGCTGGAGATCATGCAGAAAGTCCACCAAGGGGTGGGACTTATGAGGAATTGAAACTAAAATAAAGGAACTCTGTTTAGATCTTTTCCCTAGCCTTAGCTGCAGTCCTCCTTTCTGACAAGGATGTCTGGAGTCAGAGGATGGACGGAAGGCAGGTCATATGGGACGGCAGGAGGTACAGGACGACGGCCACTTCCTGCACCCCATTTAGGACAAGAGGTAATGGTCTTAAATTGCACCAGGGGAGGTTAAAGTTTAATATTAGGAAAAAAAAATTCTTATCAGAAAGAGGTATTGGCATAAGTTGCCCAGGGAGGTGGTGGAATCAGCATTTCTGGAGGTGTTCAAGAAACGTATAGATATGACGCTGAGGGACATGGATTAGTGGGCATGGAGGTGATGGATTAATGATTAGACTAGATGATCTTAGTAGTCTTTTCCAACCTTAATGATTCTATGATTTCCCCCTCAGGGTTACCTCAGGGATAAAAGCAATCAAACAGAGGAGGCTGGAAATTCCCAGCAGCTGATGAGGTCTGGAGGAGAGCAAAAGAACCAACCATCAACTTATCAACAACAGCAAGAGCGGCAGTAAGTAGAAAGGAACCTAGCTGGTACGGAGGTGTTGTTTGCATTGGGTGCCTGTTCTCTACCTTACTCAAAGTGTACACCCGTAAATGTAGAAATTCTTCATAGAGAGCCTGTGAAAGGGACTGAACACATAAGCAACATGTTCTGCTGCTCTTGGAGAAGCCCACTTATGAGCAATGCTTTCTGATTGGGACCTGAGGTCTTCTAACAGGTTTTATGATATTATGGTTTACCCCTGGGGCTGCTTGAATGCGATATGTGTGCTGATAGCATTGGCAATACACGTAACAGCAGCAGCTGGTTCTGTATATCTGATATTACTGTACATGGCATCTGTTTCTTGGAATCTTTGTCTAACTGGAATTTCAAATCCGGTTTTACTTTCCTGTTTTCTCTCCACTAATATTTCATCCTGGAAGTCTCAAAATACTTCTTTTTGGCTGAGGAGATGGATGTAGGCTCTGTTCCAGCACTGATCTGAACGCAATCCAAGATACAGAACAGCTTCTCTTCTAACAACTTCATGCTGACAAAAGTAAAACCAAAGCTTCATTTCATTTTTACTGGCATCTGTGTTCCGTCCATCTCTTTTGTGTGTGTGTGTATGTGTGACAATCTCTGATACCTAGTATAAGCATTAATTTACAGATCTGGTACAGAATAGAAATTGTCAGTACCATGCGTACTTTGTGAACATGTGCTTAGCCGACTAAAAGTAATTATTTACACTTCTTTTTCCCCAAACAGCTTTTTCTAAGCTGTTAGTAACCATGCTTGTAGTGCTATTATTATGCACTGAGTTTGCTTAGCTTGCTTTTTCCCCTAGTCTTTCAAACTGCAGCTGGTGGAAACTGGCTCCACCTTCTAAAAGCTATTTCAGTTTCCTTTCCTGTCTTTCTGGAAGAAGAAGGTGGAGCCAGGCTTTGCAAGAGCTGTCTGCCTGCTGATCATGAGCTTCAATCAGAAGCTTTCCATGGTAACCTGTGGCGGTCTATTAGGTAGTAATGATACATGGACGATTAAGAGCTCAGCTGCTATGAAATTCTTGGGCATTTTAACACATTACTTTCTGCAAAGTAAACCACCTTTCCTGAATTACAGCCTATATTTATTTTGTGCCACTTCCAAGCATGAAAGTTTCTGTCTTGCCTTTCTTCACATTGCTGTATATCCACAGTACAGTGAGAGCATCTTAGCTACTAGTCCTATATTTTCTTTCTTTCCTTCTGTCTTCCTTTTTCTCCCCCCTTCCTTTCTTTCCTTACCTTCCTTTCATTCCTTTCATTCCTTTCATTCTTTTCATTTCTTCCTTCCTTCCTTCCTGTCCTCCCTTCTGTTTTTCTTTTTCCTGAGGGTGGTGAGTGGAAGTTTTTCCATGGGCATATCTGTTTTTGCCCAAAATTTGGTCTAGTGTACAACCCTGTGGTAAAAGTTAGATATGTGCTTAATCATTTGGTTAGACTGAGCTCCTTGATAGATCAAATATATTCATATAGATTATGACCAAATGATGGACTCCTCTATAAAACCAGATAAGCTCTTGGGGAAGAATAATTAAAGCCTGTTTCCTGTTTTGTCTTTATATGATGCTTGCAGAGAGAAAACTGCTGCATATTTACTACAAGGATTGCACAAATATTTTTCACTATATAATATGAAAGATTCTCTCTGTGTCTTCATAAGATGAAAGAAAGAATTCATTCTAAAACAGGAATGTACAAATCAAAGTCTGCAGTAGTATGAAGGTATTGAGAAAGAGGAAGGAGAAAAAGGCAGGATCAAAGACAATACAAGAGGGAAATAAACACTTAAAAAAGGGAACAAGACTAGGGTTTCTTATCTACAGTTGGGGAGAAGAGCAACAAATTGAGTGAAGGGACTAGAAAATAAGACCTACGAGGAGAAGCTATGGAGATTATTTAGTCTGGAGAAAAAGAGGCTGAGGGGGTCCCTATCAATCTTTACAGCTACCTGAAAGGAGGTAGCAAACAGGCTGTTGGTCTCTGTTCTCAAGTAACAAGTGACAGGACACAAGGTAGTATCCTCGAGTTGAAACAGGGGTGGTTTAGACTGGAAGTCAGGAAGAATTTCTTCATGGAGAGGGTGGTTAGGCATTGGAATAGGCTGCACAGGGTTGTGGTGCAACCCCTATCCCTGGGTGTATTTAAGAGGCACGGATGTGGCAGTAGGTGACATATATGGTTTAGTTAGTGGGATTTGGTAGGTCAAACAGGTAGTTGGGTTTGATCTTGAAGGTCTTTTCCAACCTACAAGATTCTACAATTCTATGAATGAGATGAAGCTGGATGAAATTAGTAGAAGGTATCGGAAATGCTGAAGCTGATGAGGAGAGACCTCTATTCTTGAAACAAAAACTATAACGTTTCATTTTTATTTTATTTATTTGTTATTGCTAGTTGTATTGCAAGATTTCAGATTAAAATGTCATTCCAGTAATGGCAAAGCTGACTCATCCTCTTGTCACTCAGTCCCTTTGAAAATTAGCCTTGAAACTGAATTACTAACACACTCTCAGAGTAGTCCAGGCTTTTAGGCTTTGGGATAGCAAAGAGTTGAACAGAGAAGTTTCAAAGCTTATGTTGTAGGATATTAGCAGAAGAAAAGATCCTTCTAGCATTAACCTTGAAGGCTTTCTGAAATATGTGTAGTAGAGGAAACATGAAGGGCAGAAGAAAGATAACTCTTTGCCAAGATGTGGCTCTATTCCAATTGATGTGTTGCTCACTGTGTTTTGGAAACAGCCAGGATCTGGTTTTGTTGCCAAAAGAGGAGTCTGAGCCTCTGTCGAAGCTTGTGAGTGACTAGGTTGGGTGTGTTGTTTTCAATGAGATGGCTTGGGCTGTGCTTGGAAGTGAGGAAACACCTTAGTAGTGTTTTAGTGTGGGATTAGGTGATGTTTCATGAAAATTGGACTCATGAAATACATGTGGGACGTAGAATGTTAAAGCCTCACCAAGTAGCTGAGATTCAAATGACTCATTCAAAAAAAGTGCGAGATGAGCAACTGGTATTAGATAGTAATTCTTCTCTTGCTTTAGAAAAGCCCTTGTATAATAAGCTCTTGTATACGGCTGGAAGGTGATAATAAAGTGGTTCTAATTAAGTTATGAAAAATACTTGTTCAAATGAAAAACTGAAATGAAGCTTTGCACATTGGTTCCTCCAGTTCTGGACAGGATATGGTTTCAGGCTATGGAGAAAAAGACCATGATGACAAGTGCTTGAATCTGCTTATAATAATATGCTTGCATTTAAGTTACTTCACTTTGTCTGCTAAGTACCATGAAATTAACTCGTAGAAAGTGATTTCCCAAATTATCCCTGTTCATATCTATTCAGAAACAAATGTCTGCACTGAAGAAAAGGTGGAGGAAATTGGGGAAATTAGAGGCTGAACAACAGCTAGCATTTGAAAAAAAAAATTTTGATGGTCCCTGCCCCCACACAGGAACAGCATCCTGTCCTTGGCATCTTTAAACCTGGAAATGATATTGGTTCTGGTAAAATATATTTATTAAAAAAAGTCAAATTCAAAGTAATAGAATGTGGAGATATATTGCCATACAGCTGCTAATAGCCCTTTATCCACCGATGTGAAAGGAGATCTGTTACTAGAATGCTTGACTTGAAAAATTTTATTCTGCAGAAGCCAAATCCATCAGGGCTTTTTTTCCTTCTCTTTCTAATCTTCATTGTGAATTGAAAAAAAAAAAAAATCTATAATGTAGTACTTCTCAATCTTTTGCTCATAGTGTGCCTGTCCTTAGCAGTTCTTTTGAAAAAATTTATTTTCTTTCACATTATGGAATTTCTTCTTTTAACAACTCAAAATTAGTCTACTGAACTGGTGGAGGACTCTTCTCAACATTCTTCTTTTACCCATCGGTGGGAGTTGCAGATGTATAATCTGAATTAGAAACAATTTTGTTTAGAATTCATCACTGCATTTGCTGCATGGAAAAAAGTCTTCCATTTCTATGTAGCCAGCCTTATCTTCAGCCAAGTGTTCAAGGCTGAGGCCAAGTAGGAGAATAACTGCAGTAAGATTTGGAGCTTGCTGTTCTCATCATGTGTGTAGGGCAGTGAGGAAGTCCTCCTAACTTTATATTAGAAGATGTTCTAGGAAGAGCTTAATTTGTGCCAGATTTAACATCCATCACTTGATGAAGAGTTGTGGTAAGACAACTAACACATGGTCAGGGGCAAGAAATGGACAACAGGTATGGTACTGAAGGGGAGAGGAAGAGAAAGAATATGATTCTGTGAATATTGTTGAAAATAAAGTGGCGGAGTGGAGGTGAGCATTCCACTGGTTTAGCTCTTAATCTTCCTCTGGTAGAGTCTGACCTGCTCAGCTCTCCAGACATGCTGGCTAACACAAGAAGTGGCACGTGGACACTTCTGCTGTGGTTTGCTCATCTTGGCATTGATGTTTCCATGTCCAGTGCCTGGTCTGTTTTAGTAGGGATGCTCTGTTTTGAATTTCCAGGTGCTCCAGCTGGCTCTGGCATGCTTGCCACAATCCTGGCACTGCACTGCACTAAGGCAACTGAATGGATTTGGGATCTGCAGATGGCATAAACAGAATCCAACTTCATGAACTTTTTGGGCTCCAGTGCTCTCTTTTCTATTTATGTGGGTTGGAAACAACCTTCAAGATTCCCAAGTCCAACTATCAGCCTGACCTACTGAATCCCATCACTAAGCTACGTCCCTTACTGCCATGTTCACACACATCTTAAATACATCCAGGGATAGAGCTGCACTATCTCCCTGGGCATCCTGATCTAATGCTTGACCACTCTCTCAGAGAAGAAATTCTTGCTAATGTCCAATCTAAGCCACCCCTGGAACAATATGAGGCTGTTACTTCACATCCTATAACTTGTTACCTGAGAACAGGGTCCAACAGCTTCTTCGCTGCTAGTTCCTTTCAGGTAATTGTAGAAAGCAATGAGATCTTACCTCAGCCTCCTCCA